TAAATATTTTGAGAATCGACGTTACCCCACCTCACAAGACATCCTATAAAAATTATGACTTATTAAAAACCATGGATAAGTTACTGATAAATTTGAAAGTTACGCATATACCATTATTATATATATAATATCATTTAAAATCCTATAAATCCCATACTAAATCTTTCTTTATAAATATATATGATTCAAAACATAGTGCTTAAAAATTGAGCACAGCTTAAATTTAAATATATATTAGTCAATATTAAAGATATCTTCTTAAAGAATAATTATATTTGTTAATAAATTTAATTAATTAAAATTATTCTTCAAAATTCAATTATAAAATATAAGATTGTAAAAAAAAATACTTATGTGTATAAAAATTTATTTTTGTTAATTAATATTGATAAGGAATTCTAATCCAAATGGGAACCATTTTAAGGATATATGTAAAAAATTGACAAAGAACGAATAATATATAAAACCTAGCACCAAAAATTTATTCTTAATAAGTAAAGTAATGTTGTAAAACAGCTCGATTTAAGCCAATTTTTAAAAACGTCTCCATCAATATTTTAGGCAGAAAAATATTGTCTAAACCTCATAATTTCGCAGGTGTCCAAAACCCTTGTGTCATCCATGAGCGAAATTGACAGGGTTGCATAATATCTTCTTAAATCGATTCAAATCGAACCGTTTAACATAATTATTAACAAGGGATAATTAGACTATAGTAAGGTAAAATCGTACAATTTGGCTTAATCTAAAGACATTGTCAACTAAGCATTGAGACGCGAGTTAATTTATTTTTGCTTTCTTCAAATTTGAATACTTTAAAAAAAATCTGAGACAGAGGTGATGATTTTCGGTTTAAAAAAATGGCTAAGAATAGAATTTCCCAACTAAATTAACAAACCATTTAAGTATATTATTTTATTATACATATAAATTCGCATGAATTTTATACTATTTGTAATAAATGTATTAGGAATCAAATAAATATACCAAAATAATTTATATAAAAGTTAATGCCAATAAACTTTTAACTTTTGATAATATAAAAATATGTTAGGAGCTATACATTTTTCATATGAACTCTAATAATATTAATATAATACACTTATATTTTATTCGAATTATAATCAATAATTAATATCCTTAGTTTAAATAATATATATATAATATTCATATTATAATAATATTAATGAAGTTTTAAGCCAAACTATTAACAAAATATAAAAAAATTACAAAATATATATTAGGTTTAAGCATTTAACGAAAATTCATTCAATATATTATAAGTAAATTATTAAGATAAGAATTATAATATAGAATGGAAGCATGGATCCAAGATATTTTATATCTTGAAGCTTGCTAAAAAGAAAATATGAAAGTTTTATTAAATTATATTAGAAAAATGTATCAAGCCTTTTCGTATATATAATATATATAATAGATCAGGACCAAGTCTTGTTATTTTTAATTTTATTTGATTCTACTATAAAAGAAGTATAGATGATACTATACAATTTCATTTTTTTTGAACAATCTGGGGGTTTAAGAGTAAGCTTATTCTGGAATAAATCAGTTTTGCAACTAATTATATATTATGAAAGAAGGAATATAAAATTATAAAGAAAGGATGTAAAGTTAATATCAAAAAAATGAAGACTTGGGAAAAATAATTTATATAAATTATTAAAAAATTGAAATTATGAGGGACTCAAGTAGTTTAAAGATAAGTAGAGGATAAATAAGTTGTTATATGTAGTGAGAAGATAAGCAAGATGGATTTATATTTAAATAAAAAATAAAAGTGACTTTCAAACGCTAAGATCACTTTTTTCCCAATTATATATCCGAAAGTTTTGATTATCCTATTGAAAGTTATTTTCACTCACGAATCGCTCACTTTTAAATATCCTTGCCATTGTTTCTATCATTATCATACTCATTTTTTTTAGATACCATTCATTGATAGTATTAATTTTAATGTTTTCATCGGTTTCGAAAATTCCCCACCTATTTTTTCTCTTTTACGATAGTATTTCCTTGTTATCCAACTTAATCATTATATAAAAAAATTAATTTTGTCAGGTGATGGTTTTGTAAGGCAATAAAAATCAAAAAAAATATAGGCAAAATCCTCACATAGCAAGAATAATTTTTTAGATCATAAATTGCATTGCATATGTTTAAATGAAAATTTAGATGAAATTTTTTATTTGGATGTAAACAATTATTTTGAAACACTATGTAATTGATATATGAATGATTTACTCTTCCAAATAATTTTCGTACTTTATCAATATAAACGAAAATTTCTGAATCATCTCATCAAAATATAGGTATACATTTTTTTTTATTCATACTTAATAAAATAAATAGGAAACTTCTAATTCACCCATCATCAAATAAATGGGAAATTTCTGATTAACCTATCATGACGGCTACATGCTAATAATTATAAAACAATTTTGTTTATTATAATTTAATATTAACATTATCATTTTTTTATATATTGGTTTATTTTGCTTTGGGCATAAATTTTCTCAATAATTTTGTACAATAAACAATCCAGATTATATAAAAAAATGTCTCAAGCGAAAATATGTTATTCATAAAAGGATCGTCAGGATAGATCGTTATTCGATCCTGTATCGTGCTCATTTTACTTTTCTTAGAATCATTTATAATTTTTTTTTGCAAGAGTTTTTTTAATTCGTCGCTAAATGTCATATTTTTTAATATATATGCGATTTTTATCATCTCAAAACAATATGTTAAATTTATTTATTTTTTAAATTGAGTTAAATAAATTTTCCTAAGTTGTTTGCAGTGCCAAGGTTAATGTGAAAATTTGATTTGCCCTTAAAATTAATTATAAATTTTCAGATATAAAATTACTGATTTAAATATTAGAGGAAATATTAATTATGCTTAAATAAAATTTTAATAATATATACATAGTATATCCGGAAAATTTAAAGACCATAAACATTCCGCAAGTGAATATAAAAAATTTTCATCAGAAATTTATTTTTATAATATTAAAATACTCATCTATTTAAACTAACTCCGAAGTGGAACTCACATAAAAATTAATTAAAATAAGAATAGGAATTATAAATGAAATTAAGAATTATAATAAATTATGTTCCTAATTACATGCCTGAAAAATGATAATTACTTATAATTACTAACACTTTTTTAAAGTGATTTAATTATAATTACTAATTTTTGCATAATATCGTTTTCTACTATTAATCTTAACTTAATGGGGATAAAACAAGAAAAAAGAACCCAATATGGTTGATTTTAAAAAAAAATGTTTTAATTTATAATGAAGCCATTTGGTTACATTTAGTTTAAGTTGATTTTTAAAGTTTAGTAAAGAAAAAGAATGCATATCTACTGATGGTGATACCTTTAATATTAATGAAGAGTAATGAGAAAAATCAAACTGATTACCTAAAGCATGATAAAGAATCTTTTTCTAGATAATTTAAGAATTAATTTTATCAGTGGAAAAGAATTAACTATATTTATGTTATAATTTGCCCTTATTTTCTTACATTAATTTATCGAAATCATATGATTAATTTAGTTTTCTTACAATTTTAATTTCACTTAAGCCCCTTCATTCCTTTTTTTCATATTTATATATTTTTTAAATATTTTATACTGTACTTCCAAACTCAGAGAAATTGTTTAAAAAATGTATGCATTTTATCATCATCTGTACAGTGGACAGGTAAGGCTAAAATTCGTAAAACTTTTATGAACCCAAATGTATCATTTGTCTGCAATATTATTTTCATAAATATTAAATTTAGAATTTCCAATTATATTTTATTTTTAATTATGCAATAAAAGGATATTTTTTAGGGGAAGGGGATGGGGGGGGGGGGGGAGGGTATATTTTGTTTAATACACTTAGGGGAGGATGGAAGGACATAGCAGCCAATATGTCTTAAAAATCCGGCTGGGCTTAAACATTAAAAGGATTAAAAATCCGTGTAAGTCATAAAAAAATAAATCAATTAATCAGTGGGAACGTGTTGGAAAATCTTATAATAGGGCGGTTTATATTTATTTGCTGCTCATATTTCCACCTTCCCTTTAAAAAAATAGCTAAAATTATTCAAAATAGCAAATTTAAAAATCCCAGGCCAGGCTGTAAAATGATCAAATATTAAAATCCAGACCGTCCAAAAAAATACGAGGTAGGATGGGCTTGAAAATAAATGGTTTAAATCAGGCCGGTTTGGGTTTGAAAATAAAAAGTTTTTAAATCCATGTCGAGCCATTTATACTTCTGTAGGTTTTGGATTCTAATGACGTTATTACATCACCCATGCTTCTGTAAAGGTTCCTGTTTTTATCTATAATCCTCCTTCAAGATTTCTATCAAAAACCGAAGCTAAACGCCTAACAATTATCATTTTTACAAAAACTAAAAGCTCATTCAGCCTATTCCTACCAGCAACTTTATTCTTTCTCTGCATAGTCTAACATAGAGGTTAAAGGGCCCCCGGGACTACTCATGTACTAACCAAAATCAAAAAGAACGCTGTTTTATATTTTGTCTCTTTTACTAATTTTTGCACGCAAAATTTTGTATGCAGTAAATATTGAGGTTTATATTACAATTATCATAACTTATAATATTGTTAAACAAAATAGAGCTGAATCACAAGAATTCCCTTTCTAAAACCCTTTGTGCTAATAAAATTTATTGTAAATAAGCCAAAAAGTAACTTCGAAGTAAAATTTTAAATAAAAAAAATAACCGATGAGGGCCCAAAACTTTATTAAAACTATTTCATATACCAAACAACTTTAATTCATTCTTGAAACAAAAGAATTCAAATTACATAAACAATATTAATAAATTTATTAATGAGGCTAAGGTAATTAATCATTTTACCAAATAATACATTAAAAAATTAAAACTATTAATTGATATGAATTCATTTTTATAAATAATAAATAAATACTATATAGCATAAGAGTTTATAGCGATTATTTTTTTAGAATTATGCTAAATAATTACTTGTCTTAAAAATTAAAAGAGCAACAAAATGTCGAATGCATTTTAAATTGAAATTCTTTAAAAATGTCATTTATTTTTTCGGAAGGAGAAGGCAGGGCAGTTTTCTATCCATTATATAAAAAATTTACTAAGAAAGATATAATTAAAATTAAATTATTTCCGAAATATTTTTCGGTGCATTTAGAAAAAAAAATGCAACAATGAAAACTGTGAATGATTTGATTGGAAAATTTATAATTATAGCGTAAGTAGATTAAGGTGCGAATATTATTGTTTTTTTTTATCTGTGACTATATTTAATTATAAAAAAAATTGTATTTGATCGTAACGCTAAAATAAAAACTGAGCAGGCGTTGAATTCTTGAATTTAATTACAAAACAACAGCTTTTAAAGACGACTTCTTAATATTTGGGAAAAAGTTCGGCTATATTTTCGCAACCTTTATCGGCCACTTCTTTCAGTTCCTTCTTGGGTCTATTCTCGAATAAGAGTGCTCTGTTCTGAAGAGTTCCCTTCTTAATCCAATGACCGTAAATGTGAAAGGCCAGTGTATCGATGTATTTGTGAACCGGTTTCGCCTTGTAAGGGTCCTCATTTAAGATAGTTTGAGTAACCACGAACTCCAAACCTTTAATCTTGGCCATTCTTAAGTTTTTAAGATTAACGATGGCTAAAACGACAATCATGGTTTTCTGATAATTATAAATTTAAATATTTGGTTTGTAAAATTAATTTCATTAAAATATAGAACAGTTTTAATTAAATATTAAAATTTAAATGACTATTGATATTAATAATGTTAAGTGATAAAATGTCGTTTTAGAATTAATTTAACCAAAAAGACAGTTTTTGACAAAGATGATAGACATCGATACTATCTTTTTAGCAGCTACTGATACCCACCCGATACTGATCGCCAAAAAGTGCCTAACTGTTTTTCTTAAATTTTAAATACATTTTTTTTTTAAAAAAATTTTATTATAAAAGAAGGTTAAAATAAAACTTGTAATATAAAATTATAATTTAAAAATATATGATTATTCACAAGAACAAAAAAATAAGATTCTTATTTTTTCATGAACAAATAATAGTTGAAAATTTTAGTTTTCAATTTTTTGATTGTTTTGCTTTCGATTTCTGGTCCCCTCGAGGATCGTTATTCAGCTGTTTTTATGATATTATTATTAATGAAAAATGTACCTTCAAGGTTTGCTTAGGAACAAATTTTCGACCCAGTGGAAGCTCAATCTTTTATGATATAATTTTTTAAATAAATAATTGTTTAATTATATTTAATCCCAACCTCGTGTATGAAAAAGAACGAATGTTTGAGAGCTTGTTCAGCTGTTAATCTTTTATCGGGATCTTTGATAAGCATGCCGTTCATCTACAAAATATAAATGGATTGGATATTAAACAAATAATAATCAGGCTGAGAAGAGGTAAAATAGAATTTATGAAGCCTATTTTTAAAATGTTGTATTCGCCCACTTATATGTCAAGTCTTTTATTATATAAGAGAAGAGATTTTAACCAAAAAATGTTTTGAATATAATAAACTAAATCCTTGGCAATATCGGAAATATCGGCACATTCGGGGCGTTCCTTAAGATTAAGTTCGCGATCCATTATGTTCCGAAACATGATCATTTGTTTTTTGTGCCAAAACGGGGTAGTGCCTACTAGCAGGGAATACATGAGAGCACCTGAAGACCAAATATCAGAAGGTCGCCCGTATCCTTTAGAATCGTTGAACATTCTGCAAGCCAATATCTCAGGAGCAAGATATGCGGGAGTCCCGCACAGATCTAAAATGATATAAAAATCTATATTATCGATATTGAGTCAAATAATTCATCCACATCACCTTGCCTAATTCAGGCAATAAAATGTTAATAATCCAGCTATTTTTTTTATTTTTTGAAATTTATTAGAATTTGAAAGTATCTATATTCAAAAAGCTTGTGTATTATTAGATTTGGCTCTTTTTATCAATCATGAATCAAATAATATTCTTTTATTAGATTCGCACACAATAATTATTTTATTAGTAACCAAATTGAAAAAAAAAGATTCCATCTGCCGCGGAGGAGCAGCCTAAATTAATCACCTATTCGTGGAAAATATGACAACCTTCATAAAAATTATGTTATAAAACTAAAATTTTATTTCTTTACTTCTTATATTTTATTAGAGAGTTCATTCAAAAATTTTAAGAAAAGGAGAGAGGCCAAATATCTGTAAACCAAAATACGCGAATATTTAGAATATGCAACAGAAAGTTTATCTACTCATTTTTGTAGCTCATAGTATTAGTAATGATAAAAGGACAAATTTGCAACTACGAACTCGAATCAAAGTAGTAAAAATCGTCCTTGGCTCGAAGTAGACAAAATTAGTATGCATAGGTTCTTATCGCAATCAATTTCGATCCGAGTGAACTTGATTTGTGAACTCATGAACCTACTCGGATTAATCAGATCTCCGAATCAAATCATACATAATAATATTATTACTAAATAAATATGTAGCTGAAATATTTCATCCAAAAATGAAGGCAATATGTAACTCTAAAATTATTACAGTTTTATATAGTACAATATTAATTTAGAGATTTATTATTGTTATGGCTAATATTTTCCACTAATTAGGTTCTATTTGAAATATCATGGCATATTTGTTTTATAAACAAAATTTTCTCAAATGTTTATCCTCTCTAGTATTTTTAATTAATTTTTTTAGTTTCCGAAATTATTTTCTTTTAAGTATTTTATGATTGCATATCTAATTATACAAATAGCCGATATTTTGCATTTTAGCAAAAAAATTCAAAACAAAACAGAACAAATTATACACATGTGTAGCTAGTGTTTGCAACGGTCCGGTCCGGTCTTATCAGACTTTTCGGTCCTAGGGACGGTCCCGTCCAACAACACGGTTCCACGGTCCGGTCCGACCGAAGACCGATTTAAGAATATAAAAGTTTACTATAAATTGCTTTATAGTTAATGTGTATGTACATGAACATATAAAATATGATTATTTAATGCCTAACACTTTATAATATCTAATTCATCGTTTACTTTTTATATTCTTCCGTTTCATTAAATTCAATATTCATAGTTTACTTTTTATATTCTCCCGTTTCATTTAATTAAATTCAATCGCCTTCAAGTATTTTAATTTAGTAGGGTAGGTAGTATTATATTTTATTTTTAGAAATGGATATTGAAAATGAAATCATAGAAGTTGATATTGAAATGCCACACTCTTCAAGGGGTGAAAGAATGACTATTATTGATGAAAATCAAAAAAATTCATCAAATTCTTTAAAAGATGTTAAAGAATTATACAATTATTTTAAAAAAGAGACTAGTTATAAGATTTGTAAAATCTGTTTACAATCATTTTCAAATACATCAAGCACAAGTAAATTAAGCATATATACTATTAGCTGGGAACTAATATTAAAAACCCAATATAAACAAAATATTGTATTGGTATTGGGTCTAAAATATTGATATTGGTTTAAACAATATTTTCTATTTCTTGTATCTTGTATTGGTTTATATTGTATTGGTTTAAATTCAAATAACTAATTAAAAAAATAGAAATAAATAGTGATTTCTAAAGCTAATGATAAAATAACTAGCAATAGAATGAATCCAAAGATGGTTCAATCTATGATGGCACTTGAATCATGGATAAAAAATGGAATTATTTTTGATTTTTTAGAAAATAATTAAATCATTTATATACAATTTATTTTATAACCAAATATATATATCAAAAAAATTAATTAAATATGTAGATCATATTCATATTGATATAATTTATATTAAATAAATTTGTATTTTAATATTCTTTTGATTAGGCCTTTGTGTATAATATAATAAAAATGAATTGATGATATAATTGAAATATTAATAGGGAGTTTAACTATTCATTTTTAATAAATTTAAATGCAGAATAAAACTTTTGTAGCTTTATAGAAAATTTTTTTTAGGTGGGACCGGACCGTTGCAAACACTATGTGTAGCCCATTCATTCGCCTATATTCTAACTTGAGTAGCTGGCATTATCAAATATAAATATACAAAAACATCCAAAGATTAAACTAAAATCTCCCACATTCTTAAATATTTTCAAAAATCTTGTTTTACCTTCCTTTCTATTTTTTAAGAATTATATATTATTTTTATTTTAGTAAATTATTGTCTTGCATTGTTATTTTTATTTCATACTTTCACTCAATACTAATGAACAAAAAATATTAAATATCGGTCTACAAGCCATAACTCCTAGAAAAATTATGAGATATTTAACTTTTTATGTGTTATTTGGACTTAAAAGAATGGAAATTACAAAAATTATTAGAGCTCTGTGTCTGAGTTCCATTATTAATGTTCCAATTATGAATTTGAAACGCTTCATGAACAATATATATAAGATCGGGTATTGCAAAACGCGTAATTATGTTTAATTAAATTTAAAAAATTTTCGTTTCGAGTTTCCATATGGTAGGAATAGTATAAATTTGAAACTAATTGATGTAGCGTTTATTTTAAATATTTATTTTTTTACATTATACTTTATACGAATTGAATAAATTAATTAAATAATGTGTTGCGTCATATTAATTAAGAGGAGACTTTTAGGGTTTAAATAAGACACCGGCGTTAGGTCTCATAAGTTAAGAGTATAAAAAAAAATTAGCAATAATTATCTGATTTGCAATGCAAATTGCACGTTCTAATTGAATATGTTTCTTAAAGTAATAGATAGATATTTTTGTAATTGAATCTGTAACAGATACCTGTTTAGTTCAAAAATTAATCATCATATAAAAAAAATTACCATGGAGACTACGATCATTTTCTACGTAAACTGAAAATCCTAAATCAGTAATCTTTATTGATAGGTTGTTATCAGAGACCAATATATTTTCAGGCTATTGATTTTAAGAAATATTTAAAATATATGTTTGACATTAAATTTATATATAAAATGTATATATCATGGGATCATTGCAAGACTTCGTAAACAGTTTGGAACTGATAATTCGAGATCTGCAAAAGTAGACCCTCGGGACGGGTCGGATCGGGCCTTGTAAATATTTTTAAATATATTTAAAAATAAAAATATTTTATTTTATTTATAGAACTAGACGCCATATAATATATGTCTTTTTTGAGTAATTATAAAGATTAATTTCTATATTTAAATAAGCAGAATAAATTTAAAAATAGCGAATACGTTAGAATTTATCTATCATAATAATAAAGCGTTGCGCGACAAACTAGTAAAGGGAATATATAATGAAAAAAGTTCCATGATATTAATTAACAATATAAAATATTTAAAAATAGGGGAGAGCACCTCAATACTCAAACGACGATATCTAATAAATAAAAAATTAAATATGTATTATTTCAAGATTATAATTACATTAAAAGTTTATAATTAAAAATAGTTGTAAACCATTACTTTTATGTCACGGTGCACCACAAAAAGTTTATGCATATGCATCAAAGCATTAAGTACTTGCCTCATTATATGTCTTATGTTTAATATTTTTTTAAATAAATATATGATGTATTTAGATTATTTCCAAAACTTTGAAAAAAATTGACAAAATTCAAGAACTTTGATGATTATAAAGAAATAAGAATTTGTTTCTATCAAAAAAAACATTTCAAAACATTTTTCTTCGAATTCATTTATTTGAAGGCCGTGATAACGAAATTCTTAAGGGAATTTTATTGGTCATGCTCTACTTTCTCTTAATTTTATTATTTATATATTTTTACAGACTTTTTAACTATACTTTTAAAATGTATAATAACTAGGGACCAGAAACAAGAGCATTTTTCAGTTCCACCTTTCGGAAAGTTCCTAGAAATATATCTAAGCATATTTTTAAAATCTACACATTTTAATTAATCTTTATTTAATCATTAAATGATTCAATTATTACATCGAAGTATTAATATATTTACTATAATACATTTTGGTTCTTTGAGTCTTAATATAAATTTGAGTGTCGAAAAACAACGTTCAACACTTACCTGGCTATATGGAGTTGCTAAAACGATTTGAGCCAATTCATACAGGATAGAACTTTTATTTTATTGGATTGTCAATATTCTAGCAAATTTTTTGATTTATCTAGATCGAATATTTCTTATAGTTGATAGAATATCATCCTTTTTGTAAGTTTGGTTATGTTTTTCTTCTTAATTCTTGAACCTTAGAAACATTGCTAATTCATCATTTTGTCCTTCTTCAGTGTATTATCCGAATTACGTATTACATTTAAATCTTAATCCTTAAAATTTTTAATACATTCAAATGTCGTCAATAAATGAATTATAGCTATATTATTTTTCTCTTCGCTTAAAAGAGATGTAAGCCTAGGATCTAAATATAAGGGAGAACAAAGTAACTAATTCATTAGCATTTTTTACTTTTGTTGAGAGCTGAAATCAAGTCTTGAGATAACAGGGAATTACTTTCTTGAAGCCTTTTATACATTTGGTCTTATTGACCTATAGTCACCTGAAAAAATGCTCTCATTTTGGAATAATAAGCTTCCTTCCTTTAACGGCTCTAATGAGGCCATCATTTTTCCAGTTTCCAATCTTCATTGGGGGAAAAAAATTACAGGGCGTACCATTTGTAAGGATTTAGAAAATAAAAAGAACTTAATATATGTACCTGTTAAAAGGATTAAAAAAATTTATTTATTTAATTATAGAAATAAATAAGAAATTTATATATAATTTTATGAAACTTCCAGGAATACACGTTCCGATTCCAAGTCCCTGATATTAACTGATATCGATAAGAATTCTAAAAAGGCCTGTCGATAGGGATACAAAAATATTTATGTATCCGATATATTTTGATTTCTTAGTATGATATTTTTATTATTATTAGCAATTATATATATCATAAGTCTCAATGCAAAACCATCTAACATTTCCAAACTTTCGTCTAGACAAAAAATAAACAAATCATTCAAAATTAAATTGAGGACTACTATAAAATAACCATTTTTATTTCCCTAGATACATTTTTATCTCACAATGAACGATTTATGATTTATCAAATGGCTCTATTCAATTTACAAATACCATAAACTTCCTCTGATCTAGGATATATTAAATCTTGATATTTAAAAAATTAAATAGTTAACTAAATTTTATTCAGAGGATATAGGTGTATATATATGAGGCCAATTAATTTCAGAATTTAAATCTTGAGAAATATTAATTTTAGTAGATAATCCTCCAAACGCATACTTTAAAATATATTTTGGAGTTTTTCCAAATATATATTAAAGTTAATGTATATCTTGGCAATGATATCAATTATTACAAGTACAAATGAGTGGACCTTTTCTTCATTACAGAGAATAAAAATTTATCTCAAAAGCAGGGATCCAAACCGAACCTGAACCCTAAAAACCGGTATTTTTATCGAACCTAAACCTCTAAATTTCTAGCCGAACCTGAATCGAACCGCTAAAATGCCTCTGAACCGGCTCGAGTCTCATAATTTTATGCTTATAAAATAATGTGTAAGTTATTACTAGTAGTATATTGCAAAAATTTTAATTATATTCAAATTGTTTTAAAAATTATTATCAATCACATTTGATTGATAAATGTCAGTCATAATTTTTATAAACTTTAGTATATTGCCATTTTACAACATTTTTTAAATATTTTAAGCTTATAAATTATAATGCTCAGAAAAAAATTAAATCGAATATATAAATTATTTACATATAGTATTATAAATGACACATCAAATCTGATGTCATATTGGCAATGCCAGCTACCCAAGTTAGTGTGGAAAGATGTTTTTCAACAATTAAATTTATATTATCTCCTTATAGATGTAATTTGAGTGAGACGAATTTTGAAAATATATTAATTGTGAGGCTTAATAAAGAAATTTTAAGTAATTGTTTATATTAAAATTATTCATTGATATATTTATTTGTTATATTTATAAATTAAATATTATTTTATAATGTGCAATTAATAAAAATGAAGGTTTTTATTTTAATTATGAAAAAAAAAAATCCTTATACATAATCCTAGAGTAGGTTTGAATACAAAAGTGTTCAAACCGGTTTTTAGAGGTTCGAACCGAACCGATATTTTTATTTTTTGCGAACCGAACCTGAACCTTGAACCGTTATTTAAATCCGAACCTGAACCGATATTCGTTTCGGTTTGGATCCCTGCTCAAAAGTGCATCTTAAAATCGATTGAATAGTCTTGTTTTACTTGATATACATCGATATCTAATCCCCAACATAACAAATTTTTGAAAAATCAATCACAAAGAAGATTAAATTTTTATTTATGAACGATATTTTGATTAACTTTTTAAATCATTATATAATGTATGATGATTTAATCAATGTAATTTACATATATAACAGTTTTTTACATGCATACAGGTTTAAAATTTATAATATTTTTTAATATGTATATTTTGCATTTTCCAATATATCATTATTTGTGTTCGAAATAATCATTTTTTTAAATATGATTGATTCTTAAATTTTATAGATTTTTAATTCAAACAAATTTTTACTACTCCAAAAATTCATTTTAACATGAAAAAAAAATGTCCTCCTATAGAAAATTCTTGGCTACGAGCCTATGATGGTAAAACATTTTATAGTTCTTAAATATTTTGTTTCATAATGTTCAGCTTTGAATAGGTCATCCACCACAAAAATTCAGTGATTGGGTCTTCAAGAAGAGTTTGCCATTCATGAGAATACATTAATTTGTTATTTATTAATCATCCAATAAATATTGCATAAAAAATTTTTAATCTAGGAACAGGGATCCCCAATTTTATAGCCTAAAGATTAAATGGATAATATTTAATAAGAGTCTTAAAATATTCGATTTTTAAGCCGTCTTTCAATCACACCATGGGCCGAATCCACCCCATCGGTTTATGGACCTATTCTAAGAAATTTTGAATACTAATACTTTCACTTGAGACCCTACATAACTACAATTTTACAATGACAATTAGTAAAAATAAAAGGCAAAATTTTATATTTGGAAATGTAAAAATTATTTCAATAAACCATATTTTTAAATGATAGATAAATATAATAATACTTAAAATTTAACAGAATAAATTTTAAATAATATTTTTTTATATAATTAGATATAAAGCTATTATTTTTTTAATTTTTATTTATTAAATAATATCTTAAATATATATTAAAATAAAAGTAAAACTATATAAAAAATATATAAGGGGTATTAATAGTTGCCTCGAAAGATGGAAATTTGAGTTGACTGTAATAATATAAAAGAGGATTCATGATCCCTATTAATTTGAGAAAATTTTTTACCTAAAATCTTTAAAAAAAATGATAGCATAGGGGACTTAGGGGCCCATTGGTAGAAATAACTATTAGGATAAAGTGAAAATATGATAAGTCATGGTACTTTCTAATTTTTGATCTTTCGGCTGTATTGATGGGATTATAATTTAATATTTTAGAAGCAGAATTATTCATTGAATAAAATTTTTATTAGCATAACGAAATATGTAAAATAAATAATAAAATAGATGTTTTTGATATTGGATAAATAAGGCGTCTATTTGATACTAGCTTATGAGCTTATAAGATTAGATAGAAAATATAAATAAACCCATAAGGGCAAAGAAACGTTTTGAAAATTTTGTTAGTTTGACAGTTTTGCAGTGAGACCGACGATAACACTACCATATCATATATGTAACATATTTAAAATGACAAACTGGAAAAAAGAATTTATTAAACTTTTTAAAAATAATATATTTTCAAATTTGATCAAGGATCCCTTCCCCCTATCAGTAAAAACATTTTGACGACACTAAATGCTAATGGTGTGCTCATAGTGTTATATTTTCAAAATAATTGTTTAATATTTCGAAAATTTCTAAGAAAAGTTAAACCTTTAGTCTATCTGGGAAAAATTGTCAAGGTTTAGTTTTACCTTTAAATTTTTATCATGTTGTAACACTGCTAATCAAAAAATAAGAGATAATTCATTTTTAAATTTTCCAGCAGCTTGAATATGGGAAACAGAGAAAGCTGATAGTTATGTAACTAACATTTGTATCATCTCTTCTCATTATATAGTGTTGAATCCCATTTCATTCAAGCTTGAAATATGGGTGGTGAATGAAAGTTATAAGACTATGATATATAAAAATTTTAAAAGTATAGCATAATAGACATTGTTGATACTATTCCATTAGAGACTTGTAAAGCCTGGCCTTCAGGCCAAACAAATTTTTTAAAATTATAATGGACCAGGTTGGGAATCTCTGACTTTTTAAAAAAAATGTTAGTAGGCCAACCTGAGCATTAAAATTTTGATATATTTTTTTGAATTTAAAGCTAATATTTTAATTTTGATTAATACAATTTGAAATAAAAATACACTATACTAATTTCTTAGTATTTAAGAGCTGACTAACTAAAATAGGAAATTTATAAATAAATAGTAAATACACAAAAATTTGAGATGTAGTGATACCACTTTTTAGACTGATCCGATACGATATTAAATTTATATAGGCCGATTATTGAACCAATATTAAAAATATGATTTTGTTTATTATACATACTTAATATATTTTGATTCATCTACTTTTAGTAAACCATCTTCAAGTATATTATAAAAGAAACGCGTTACTTTATACGTTTGAAAAAGATTACTGTTACTCATTACCTTGTGAAAAAAGGAACGCGTTAATGGCTATTCAAAAAAAGTAACGCATTACCTGTTACTTAAAAAATATTAAATATAAATTTTATTTTTATATATTTTTTATATCATAGATAATAAAAATATACAAAAATAATATATTATAAGATAAGCGTTTTGTAATAATTTTTTATTTATTTTTAACAATTAATTTTCAAAATTTTAATCAGATAAAAAAAGAGGGCTTAATACTAGACACCATTTTCGTCGCGGGGCTAAACACAAGTTCAACTGGCGTAAAGGGTGGGAGGGCTTTATTATATTTAATAAATAAAAATTTTAATTGAGAGAATTTATATAAAATATTTTAAAGAATGATCTTTATTTTTAAATCATCTTCACAAGAATGTTTATTCAGATCCTCGTCAAATTATTTTATTATCTTTGTCAAATTTAATCTGAATTCATATCTTAACCTCCATATATTTTTTGGGATTTGAGCAGCTGGACGTTGAGATTAAAATATTTGAATTAGAGCATAATCTACACTTACAAAGTGTATATTTTAGTACTCTTAATTTTCTTTATTTATTTTAAAAATGTTTCATACAGGGGCAAGATAGTGTTGTTAAAAGGCTCGATTTTGCCAATTTCAATTTACAATTTTAGCCAAAATAAAATTACGCAAGCCTCAAGATTCGGCTAATAGATGTCCAAAATGCTAATTTACATACTTGCATAATATTTTTTAACTAAAATATTGGACCAGTCGTTTTTTAACAACACAGGGCCAGAGCAGTCAAATCATCTTCACCTGAAGAAATAAATAATATTGACAGTATTCTTGATAAGATAAATATAATATTAGAGAACATAAATTAATATACTTTTGATTGATTCAATAATAATTATATTAACAATCTTAACTGTATAATTATCCCTTTTACCAGCTCATCAGGGTCTATTCTTAATGGCAAATGTTACATTCCAAAATTTTTATATGTACTTCGTTTTTAATCCTTCCCAAACAAAAATTCTATGGCTAAAATTCACAACAAATTCAAAATATTTGTTGAAAAAATTGTAAATATTGAATCATCATTATATATCTGGTCACCTGCCTAATTAACTACCAAATAGTTTAGTTTTAGCTTTGTTCCACATATCATCTTTCTTATCATTCGGATGCAACTCTTTTGATCTCAGACTTCATACCCTTCAATGCTTATTTATTGGATGATGCAACTAGTGTTGTTAAATAGCACTTTTGAACCAATTTTTAAAAATAGCATAAGGCTTCAAGATTTTGCTAATCTTAAATTTTTTTAAAACCATAGGCCTTAAAAATCAGACATTCCCTAACGAGGTTAGGGAATTCCTATTTATACAACATTAAATTCAATTTGAACTTAATTTCGACATAACTACGGCTCCTTTTTGGGAAAGCAAATAGTAGATATTTTTAATTAATTATAATATATATTCTTTAAATATATTTTTATAATTTTATATAAATAAAGATTGATTATAAAAAAAAAAAAATATAAAAAAATTTAACAATAAAATGAAATGATTGTAAAAATAAAAAATTTGTAATAAAATATTAATATTGTAGCAATAAAAAATTATGAGCCAGTCTGAAGTTTTTTTATGTATATATTTCCCAAATGACCCATTAAATTTATTGCCCAGCCCTTGACATTATAATTTTTATTTAAATTTGCCCATCCCAGACTTTGGGACAGGTCAGGCCAGACTTTGAAGATCTTTGTTTTACATATATTTTTATATATAATTTTTATTTATGCAAAGTATATTTTTTTAATATTAATCATTATGTTCAATAAAATGAAAACTATTTTTATTTATATTTAGTTAGATTAGTAAAAATTCTCAAATTTTGTCATATTTTTATGAAGTTTTGTAAAATTTGAAGAAAAAAAAATATATAAAGGCTAAACTTTGTTTTTTTTTCTGATAATGTCACCTCTTGAGATAAAAAATCATAAAGTTCAGCTTTACATCTAGAATATAAAATAAAAATGATTATTGCTTTATGTATTAATCTATTTAAAATTATATTTAACTTACAATTCAAGCACAAGGAAGATAAATGAGCTTGTTATAAAACTATCATGAATTTCAACTAAATATTAATGTAAAATTATATAAGGCTATAATTTACATAACTGATTTATTTTAGTAAAATCACACAAATATTTATCTCAGACCATCAAAAAATTTACTTATATTAGAATGTGGAGTCACTCTTTTAATAATATTAATTTCTTGTAAAGTTGAGGAGTATAATAAATCTTTTTCATCTTGACTAGAATATGTCCCACTAATATCTACAATTTTTACTGCATACTCTTTCCCAGTTTTTTTCTCTATGCATTTTCTAACAAAGCTGCTACCACCCCTTTAAGTATATTTGTATTTTTCAAATAAAAATTATTTATAGAGTGTAGTTAACTTTAATGGCTAAGTTTATAGATATATCAATCAATATTAAATTTATAAACTTTCCTAATAACTCCCGAGGTTCGTAATTAGAATAAAACTCCTTTCCAACACTTTCATCTGGCATACTGGGATCATCCGCAGCTTTGACAGAAGACTTTCGAACAGTCTTAATAATACCATTTGTATCTACAGTCATTTATAAAGCATTCTTGTTGAGATTAAATTTTGCTCGAGACGCCCGTATGTTTGCATTCGATTGTGGTCATAAGGCCCGGTAAAGAGTTTCGTGACTCTATATCAGCTGTTTTTGAAAATTATATAATATGATTCTAAAAAGATTTAGGATGTCCCCGCTATAATTTTCAAAAAAGTATGGAGAATGGCGTGCCCCTACCAAAAATTATATTTTTTTTTATAATAGTATTTAATCCATATAATAATGATTATAAAAATTAAAGATATGTTATGTAAGTATTTAATAAAGATTTGATAAGTAGCGTCACTAAAGGGGGTGGCGCTCAAGCCCCATGAATAGTAATTTTGAATTTTTTTAAATGTATTTTTTTAAGTTTTACCGTATTACATAGATAGAATTAATATACAACTCTCCACAGAAATAATATATAATCAACAAACTTTATTATTAAAATAATATCGCAAAAAAATATCAAATTCAACAAAATTTACAACTTTATAAAATCAAAAAAAATATAAACATTAAAAAAAATAATTAAAAATTAACAATCTAAAAATATCTTCTTTTACAATTATAAAGCACCTACTCATGCCTCAAATTTAAATTATAGGATAAAAATACATTTTTAGAAATTATAAATTATTGCATCATAATGACTTTACGATAATCAACTTTTATAAATCTAAAAATAAAATGTTAACACGATTAAAATAAAATTAAATAAAAATCATCATGATTCATGACTTACTACAATTTTACAAATATCTAAAAATATATAATCAACGCAATTATCTCACAACAATTATGACTCATCTAGAACATCTCCCCCTTTTACCAACTTTTGGAAAATCTAACATATACTCTTCCTCCCCTACCCGTAACTCGGGCACCTGGTCGGATATTTCCTGGCCACGGCTTCTCAATTCCTTTTTCCTTTTCTCCACCCGCTCCGTTCCTTGGGGTTGATCATAGCGCTCTCTTGGACACCATCTTCTAATATGTCCCGCTTTCCCGCATCCATAGCACAAATTCATATCCTTAGCCTTCCTCCATCATTCCCTTGTTTGACTCTCAGATCTCTTATGGCACTTTTGTCGCCTCGGGTTTTCTTTTTTTGGCCAAGGCCCTCCATTCGATGGCTAGGGGCTCCATGTCTTTGCTAATGATCGTAATTCGAACCAGATGGGTTCCTAGATTGACATATCTACGCATAGATTTGAAATTAAATACCCTTCATGTCTCCCCCCTTTTTTTTTCTTTAAAAAAATCTTTCTTGCCCCGTCCTACATACATATGACTAATAACGGACTTACGTTGTCACAATCGTCATAATAATACTAATTACTTTTGAAGGAAAATGTTTCTCTACACAAAATATAAATTCCGTTTGATAGAAAATGTTTCTCTACACAAAATATAATTTGTTTTTCTGTTTTTTTTCCTTAATTTATTAAATTTTTAATCATTTATTTCCAAAACTCTCTTATGTTAACCTATAAATCTAATACTAATTCCCTTGGAAAGAAAATGTTTCTCTACCCAAAATATAATTTTTATCTTTATTTTCTCTTAATATTTATTAAAATTTTCATCATTTGTTTCCATATAAATTATTCAGCTTTCTACCATTCCCAATTCTATCAATTCTTATTCCGCTTATCACTTATTATTCTTTTTTATTACTCTATTGCACAACTTTATTTCCCCGTTAATTCTCAATTATTATTATTTTTTTTTATAAAAACATAAAATAACATAATTTTGATAATGTTAGCTAAAAAAAACGTAATTTTAGATAATGTTAGTTTTAAAAAAAGAAAGTAACTTTGAAAGTAATTTTAAAAAAAAACTTTTTGGGCCTTTGAGATTATAAAAGTTAGTGTCGCCCCTGGATTTAATAAGTTTAAATGGATAAGATGTGAAATATAAAATCATTATAATTATAATTTATGAATTAACTACATAATTCTATTTTCGGATTTTTTATCCACATTTCTATCAATGATTATTCTTATACATCAAAAGAGAGTAGAAAACCGGTGTAGTAAGTTGTATATTACTATTCTTTGTTTACGGTAAAAGCTTTCATTTATATTTTTAATCTTCGATGTAATGCGATATCCTAGATCCTCAAGGAAGGGTTTAAGTGCCAAAAGAAAATAAAACCCTCAGGACGTTTACCATCTTTGTTAAAAAGTCCAGTCAGCTCAAGGGTTAAAGGAATTCCAGTAGATTTGAAGGCCCGAGATATAGTTAAATTAAATTTGTATGTCTATAAATCTTCCTCTATATCGCTTGCAATGTAGAGAGTGGCGACCTTTTGAGTCAACTGGAGTCTGACAAAGAGAACATGAGTAAGCTATAACCTTATCGGCCATTATGAGCTTATCATTTATAAGTAAGAAATTAAGATTACTCTAAGGGATAGCTTCAAGAAATGCATAATAGTTTTTCGACGAAGTTGAATAGATAAAGGAATATTCGAAGGCTTTCTTAATTTAAGAAATGCGACGGAGTTGTCAATCAAAGATAAATCTCAACCAGCAATGACATTGAAGGATGATCGGCTAGGGAAGAGGGCTTCCAAAGATCGATAGCTTGAGAGAGTAAGGGATCTGGGTGAGTTGCAATTTGCTATTTATGGGGCACATGATAACCGCAAAGATATGAAGACATCGATGGAGAGTTGATATGGTCATCCTATTCCACTTTGGTTGATAAGGTGGCCTGTAGCCTAGATAATTCTCCAATAAGATTGACTATTTGTTCGGCCAATATTTTGATCTCTTATTCGTAGGTAGCAAAAATTACAGGATATTAGAAAATACTTATTCGTAGGGTGTAAAGAATCTTTGGAATTACAAAGGAGTTGCAGTAAGATTCTATGCATAGATCTTTTGAAGTATCTGCGAATAATATAGTAAAGGAGTCTTTATTAGTGTTGTTAAACTTAAACGGCTAAGCCCAGAAGACCTATCTGCGATTCGAGCCCGGTTTCTAGTCGAAAACATGACTCCAACTCGAGTCGACTTAGTTGGCTCGCTTAATTGACTCCCGAGGCGATTTTATATATGAAAATAAAAATTTTATGAAATTATATATAAGAATTCAATATCTTTTTTTTTTCTTTAGCTTTCACCTTTTCTGGTGGTAAGCTCCTTCAACATCTCTCTCCACTTTATGTTATTCATACTATCTCTTTTATCTAATTTATACTTCTTTATATTGGCTCTAATTTTATGGCCCCATTGAAGTTTTGGCTTCCTCTTTTACGTTTGCCTATCACTTCTAAACTTTCAACCTTATTTCCTATGTACTTCTTTATATTGGCTCTAATTTTATGGCCCCATTGAAGTTTTGGCTTCCTCTTTTATGTTTGCCTATCACTTCTAAACTTTCAACCTTATTTCCTATGTAGTTCATAGGCCTTCTCAGTGTGTTCCCATATCACCTAAGTCTGTTTACCATTAACTTAGTCTAATGGGCACTACCATTAAACTACTTAGTATTCTTATACTGCGCACTTTATCCTTTCTTGTTACCCATCCTCAGCATTCTCATTTCCATAGTTAGTAGACTTCTCTCGTCTGATTTCTTGGTTGGCCATGTTTCCGAACTATATAGAATAGTTGGTTGTACTATGGAACTGTAAATTTTTCCTTTTAATTTGTATGGGATTCTTTTGTCAAATAGGACTCTAGATAAAGATCTCCACTTTAACCACCCTTGATTAATTTAACTCTTTATCTCTTTTTCTATTGTGCCGTTTGTTTGTATAGTGGAGCCCAAATATTTGCAGCTTTCATTTGCCGATATCTGCCATTCATTTATATCAATACTCTTTGTTTCATATCCTCCTATCACCATATATTCCGTCTTTACTTTTAGTCCGTGCTTTTCTAGGATATTTATCCAACTCACTAATTTTTCTTTCATTTCATCCTTGGATTCGGCAAGTTACACAATATCATCTGCAAATATCATATTCCACGGGACTATTTGAGGAATAGACTGTGCTAATACATCTATTACTGTAATGAAGAAAAGTGGGCTGAGAGCCGACCCTTGATGAACTCCTTCGGCTATTGTAAAGCCGTTGAATACCTGTTGTGCTACGGGCCCATATACATATCCTGTATTATTCTTATATATTTTCGGGAACCTTTTTGTGGCGTAGCGCCCACCAGATAAGTTTTCTTGGGATTCTATCGAAAGTTTTTCTAGATCGAGAAAGATCATGTGTAGTTTTTTGTTCTTTTCCTTCTATTTTTCACTCATTTGCCTAATTGCGTGGATAGCATCAGTTGTTGATCTTCCAGGCATAAAGCCAAACTGTGTCTCTCCTATTTCGATATGTCTCTTAATCTTTTTTCTATTATTTTTTCGTATAGTTTTAGACAGTGTGACATTAATTTTATGCCCCTGTAATTTTGACAATTGTGTGGATCCCCTTTATTTTTGAAGATAGGAACTAGATAGCTCTGCCTCCATTTTTGAGAAACCTTTCCAAGTATTTTAATGAATAGACTTGTGAGAAAATGTATTCCATCATCTCCCAGTGCTTTAAGGCTTTCTATTGGAATATCATCTGGACCTCTAGCTTTGTTGTTTTTTCATATGCTTGAGGCATGTGATTATTTCTTGTTCTGTTATAGGTTGTACAAGGTTTTGTCATGGGGAGTGTTCGTCTAGATGTAGTATGTGGGGATTAAAGTTGAGAAGCTCCTGAAAATATTCTTTCCATCTATTCATTATTTCTTTTTCCTTTATTATCAACCCATCTTTGTTTTTTGGCTAATCTGTATATTTTATTTTGCCCTTCTTTGGTATTTAGTTCTTCATACATGTCATTGTTTGCCATAACTTTGGCCCTAGCTACCGCCTTTGTAGCTATTCTCTTGGTTTTTTTGTAATTTGTCTTGTCATCTGGGTTTTTGGATTTGTACCATATTTTATAAAGGGCTTTTTTCTCCTGTATAGTGGTTTGTACCTTTTCATTCCACCACCATAGTTTTTTGTATGATTTGTTTCCCCTTGTCAAGCCGAGTGTTGATTTGGTAGTGTCTATTAATCTGGATGAAAAGTCTGTCCACATTTTTTCACTGACTTGTGAGGAATCAATTGTTTCAATTCAATGTTTGCATTGATTGCAAAGGCATCTGTCATTGTTTTTAATTTAACCCATTTGATGCATGGTTTCAGTTTTATCTTATTTTGAGTGGATTTGATGTGTAAATCCATGACTAGTAGCTTGTGTTGCGCGGCTATATCTTCTCCTGGGATGAATTTGCACTCTATTACATCTTTTAATCTTCTGCGAGAGATTAGCATGTAATCTATCCGTGTTTTCCTTGTACCACTTTTATATGTTATTAAATGACTGTCTTTTTTCCTATAGTAGGTGTTGGTTAAGGCAAGGTCGAAGGCTTGCGAAAATTTCAGTACATGCTCTCCTTCATCATTTCTTTCTCCGTATCAAAAACCACCATGATGTCTTTTTTAGCAATCTCTTGCTTTTCACACATGGGCATTTAAGTCACCACCTATTATGACTAGGTCATCCTTAGGGATTTCCAATACAGCTTCATCAAGGATAGATCTAAAGTCATCTTTCTCTTCTTCCTTACAACCCGTTTGAGGAGCATATACTGAAAGGATGTGTAGTATTGATTGACCAATGCAGAGTTTTATCTTCATTAGTCTATCAGAGATCCGACTTCTACTACTGAGGAGGTTAGTTCTTGACTGAGGATAATGCCGACACCGTTTCTATTGCTAACAATTCCATTATAGTACAATTTATACCCATCTCCAATCATTAAAGTCTTCTGACCTTTCCATTTCGTCTCTTGTATGCACGCTATATCAACTTTTCTCTTGTTCAACATTGATGCCAACTCTCTCGTCTTACCTTTAAGCGTCCCAAATTCAAACTTGCTAATCTTGTCTTCTTTGATTTGACCTTTACTTTACTCTTCACAGGATGAAGGTAGGCCTATTCAAAAACGAATTCGAATCGAATAGTGCATTATTCATATTCGATTCGTTTAAACGAATCGAATAATTTACTATTTGAATTTGTACGAATAATAAAATCTACTATTTGTATACGATTCGAATTATTCGAATAATTCGATTTAATTTTTTTAATAAAATAAATCATACTCAAATATATTGACAAATTTTTTTATTACAAATTTGATTTTAAACAGAAAAAATTATAATAATATGTAATCAATAATCTGATAATAAATAATATATAATCAAGTTATAAACAAAATTAAAATATATATTATTAATTTAATTTATAATTTAAGCCAATTTTTAAGGCAAAGAGTTTTTCTTATATTTTTTTCCTTATATGACATGCGGTTTTTTGACAATAAATTAGTTCCAACTGAGAAAAGCCTTTCACAAGCTGTTGATGTTCCTTGTATAGATCGATAATCCCTTGCCATTTTCGAGAGTATGGGGATCCGATATGCATTTGCCTTCCACCACATTAACGAGCCAGTAACACTCTTTGCTCTTGGTTCACTCAGATAAAAATCTATTTCACACAGTTGAATATTATTTTGTTTAAAAACAATGTCTAGCCTGTTTTGTTGAACTTTATCCTTATTTGTTTGACAGTTATAATTATGAGCTTATAAAATAAAATCATATTTAAATGAGGGTAAATTAAATACATGTATATCTATTGTAAATCTCTTTAAATTTGTCCATTAACTTGGAAATATCAATATCATAATCAACAGATATTGATTTAAAATATTCTACTTTAAGCCTGGGATATAATATTGTGGTTATTATTGAATCATCGGCAGTTAAATTATAATAGCCCAACAATTTATCACATGCTACTTTGAAACTATTGTTAAAGGATTTATGGAAACCAGGTTTTTCATTTTTTAGATGTTCACGAATTAGAATATAATAAGGTATAACCAAATTATAAGTAGGATAATTCTCCCCACATACCATATTTGTAGTTTCATATAAAGGCAATAGTATAGCTTTAATTTTTATAAGATTCTCCCATTCTTCCTATATGTTATCAAAGTATTATATTATTACATAATTATAAATTTTAGTTTACCTCTGATATTTGTTTTTCTTGAAGAATTTTAATGTTATTTATTACTTCATTAACTAATTTTGTTATAGCAGGCTTTAACAATAAGCCCCTTTCAATCATTTGATAGGTGCTATTCCACCTTATTTCACAATCCAATTTTGGTTTTAAAAAATTTAGGGGAGGATGTAGGGAACTTCATATATTTTTTAATAAATTTAATTTTTAAGGGGATTCTAATAATGTTTCTTAGTTTTAGAATTGAAGGGTCTAAAATTTTTAAAATTTCTTTGGATATTAAATTAATTACATGGGCAAAGCATCGAATGTGCCCTATTTTTATTAAAGGATATTTTAAAGAAAATTTATCAATAAATGTTTTATTATTAGTTGCATTATCTAAAGTTATATAAAAAAAATTTATTCTCTAAATTATAATTTTTAATTATTTTGACAAAGGCTTTAAATATATTTTCATCTGAATGTGTTTCATTTATTGGACTGACATCCAAAATTATGTTATTTATTTTAAAATTATCATCAATAAAATGGGCTGTTAGCCCTAAAAATGGAACCTGTGTTGGGCTAGTCCAAATGTCAGATGAAAAATTAATTTGACTTTTATTTTTAGATATTATTTCCTTTACCAATTGTTCTTTTTCTGCAAATGTATTATACATGTGCAATTTAGTATTGGAGCATATTGATTTTACAGAACAATCAAGATCACTTATAAAATTTTTAAAATCATTAGAATTAATAATTTTAAAAGGAATATTATGATTTATAAATAATTTTAATAAATTATCCTTAAAATTAATTTTTTTTTTGAAGAATTTGGTGTAGACTTTAAAAAAATGTCAATTTTATTATTTTTTTTACTAAGGTGTGAATGAAACCTATTATAATGATTAATATGAGGAGATGTTGTTTTGCCTTTACATTTTATAATACTCTTGCAATGATTGCAAGCAGCCTTTTCACTATCTTTAAGGATTTGATATTGATCCCATATGATTGCTCTCTTTTGTGAGGAAATTTTCTCATCTTCAACATCAAGCATAATTTAATCAGAAGCATTCTCCTCTAAAATAATTAGGCTAGCTAACAATAATTATTGTAGAAATGTAATATATTTTTATGTACCTCTGGTTTGTGTAATTTTTAATATAAATTATTATGAGATTCAAAAAATAAACTTTTCGTGAGATTCAAAAAATGTGGCAAATAAAAATTTAAATTTTCACTTCAGAAATTTTTAAATTCATTCATTCATTCATTACCACGCCAGAAATTGCACGAAGTGCAATTTCATCACCCACCAGGAGTTGTAGCGTGCACCAAGTATATTCACTACTATATAGATCCTATACATGATGTATACCCGTTTTATTATAGTGGACGGTACCACTATGTAGTCAGCTAGCATAGTAAAGAAGAGAGGAGTAAGAAAGAGGAGATCTATTAGTTCCGTTACCGGCAAGATAGTGTTAAGAAGTTGTAACCAAATATAAATAATAATGTACCTGACGCCTGATTTTAGAGATGGAAAAAAAGTAATTCTTATGTTAGGTATGTATATCCTTGTAAGATAACGTTATGTCCCTAAAAGAGCTTACTATCTTTGTCTGATATTTTCCTTCTTTTTACCTTCAATTATTCTCGTCATTCTAGAGTCAATAGTGTGTGCATAAATCCTTGTTTGTAGTAAGCAAGCAATGCTCAGGATCCTCATTATTTACCACATTATCATTATTATAGTGAGCCCAGAATCGTTATCATTATTATTCATGGACTTGAGATAATCATTACCATACCAATTTTTTTTTTTCATAGTTTCTAGTTAAAATTAAATGTCAATTAGCTAATCCCAAATTATCAATTCATCAGTTATGGTATAACAAATGAAAATTCAAACCTGAAAGACAGACAGTGCTATATTATAATAGACAAATATTGTTGATTAATATTAAAGAAATGTATTTAACATGAATTAGTTTTTACATTTATCATAAACTATATAATTAATAAATTTTTATAATTCTATCTTATGGGATTTATCAGATATATTTGATTCACAGTTCGATAAAATTTCTTTGATATTTTGTTTATCTGAATCATTTAAAAAAGGGTTGCAATAGTATCAAAATCTTTTAATATTGCTCAAATGTTCTAAATAACCAAGAACATCAATTGGAAAATTATTTGTACTTTGATTCTTTGAGAGTTGACTATATTTTAAAATTTTAATTATAAATTCTAAGGATTTTCCAATTTTATCTGGATAATTAGTTGGATTGATATTTGAGATATATTTAAAGAGCAAAATTTGATCATTTATATTTTTAATCTGTAATTTAGATAAGAATGACATATCTTTAAGAAATTGATATAAATTTTTAGGTGCATTCTGAGTTGTTAGAAGAGAATGGTGGTAATATTAATCATTTCTACATTAGCAAGTGTTGGTTCTCCACTATTTGCTACTTCAAAAAAATTTTTGATAATTTTGCAATATTGCTTAATTTGTGCTAGAATTTTTATAAACACAAACACATCACCTGTCCGATTGGCAGGTCAACAAATAGAAATGACAAATTAGATTTATTAAACAATTTATTAAATATTAAGAATAATTCGTTTTATTCGAATCGAATAAATGATTATTCGTATTCAGATAAAACAAATAATTTATTATTCGTATTCGTAATTATTCGATTAGATTCGAATTATTCAAATCGAATCGAATATTCGAATTATTTTTGAATAGGCCTAGATGGAGGTCTACACCCTGCACGTCGCTTGGAGGGAACGCCCTAGCTTTCATATTCATATTTTCATTTGTTTCCTTCATTTTGTTTATTGGACAAGTATCCTTAGCACCCGGCTGCCCAGGCCTGTCGGTGATCGGGGTGTCATCTCTAAGCTCCGAAATTTATCTTACCATATGTCTTTACACATCAGTCATCGAAGAAAAACCTGAAAGTTTTTATGCTCCTTACCAGGATTGAACTTGAGTCCTCTGCGCACTTCTGTTTCCAATCATACATCTAAACCATTAGTCATAACTTTTTAATATATATATCAGACATGCATAGGTACGATTCATTAAAAAATAAAATCATTCTTTTTCATTAAATCTCTTAATCTTATAACTTTCCATTCATTATATGCCTTATTTTCATAATATTTACTTTTTAGACATTCTCTTTATAAATCCCTTATTTTGGCCTTTTAATTATTAATTATACCCTTTTTGATCATTTATATCAGAGATATTTTATTATAACAAATAAAAAAAATAATCTATAAAATAAAATTGAAATTTTCTGATGCTAGTCAGTCGGCAAAAAAGGAAGAAAAATTATTATTATTATTTTATTAGTTAAAAAAAATATAAATAAAAACATGATATCTAACTTTTACATACTTGTTTTAAAAATCTTGTTACATAAAATATAACATCTTAAGTATGAGCACATAGAAAAATATTTTATTGTTTTATTTATATTATATTTAAAAATACATGATTTTTATAAATTCTATATTTATATTTCCTTTTCTTTCTCCCCTGCCCTGGCTTGAAGAAAGAAAAATATATTATTTAATTTTCTTTTTCGGGTAAAAAGATTAATTTCTATATTTTATTTATAAAATTAATTTAGTTATCTTAATAATGTATTTCGATTTTCTAATACGGTAGGTTGATATTAAATTTTTAACAACGATGATTAAATTTAATTAATTTAAATAGACTAGGTTGCCTAGGTGTTGGAAATGGATATCGAAGATTTGACTTCATTGAATACTCCTGAAAATTTTAATTTTAAAACTAATTTCCTAGATAATCCAAAAAAAACAGGAAATGTAGGTTTTGTGGAAAAATCTACCGCATGAGTATAATGACAAGTATATTTTTTTAAAATAATTATTCATAATTTTTACCCATATTTTATATATATCAATTAATATAATACCGATATATACCCAAATTTATTTTATATTTTTAGGAAAATTTAAGAAGGCCTATGAAGCCTATGCATCTGGAATCATTATGCAATAAATGTATTTAAGTGCCAGGTTTATTGTTTTGAGCCAGAAAAATAAACTGCTACCAAAAATCTTCATATGAATTAATTAGTTATAAGATGTCTAATAAAACAAATATCAATTAATATTTTAGACAGAGAAACATTTATATATATATTCAAATATGCAAACAAAAATATCAAAATTGTTTGCAGAGAAACTGTGAAAAAATATATTCGATATAATATATATCGAATATATTTTTCAGCGCGAAAGATAGTATGATAAAAATTTTAAAAAATGTCCAGGACTTAGTCTTTTTAACAAGTGATATTTGGTCACAAAATTCTATTTCATATTGTTATCACGGTACATTGCATTTTTTAGAATTTCCATACCCTCACAAAGGTGAGGATATTTTTGAACTAATTTTATCTTCAGTTGAAGACTTTAAAATCGGAATTTTTTTTTATCCATCACCCATGATGATGGCGCGAATATAAAAGCTCAGATATGCTTAATGAATATTACCTAATAAAATATAACAAATGTTTTAATGGTCATGGATGCCTTGCACATATTATAAATATTATTGTTAAGGAGTGGCTATATATAATTAAAAATTTTATTAAAATACTACATAGGAGTCCTAAATGTTTGCAAGAATTTATCAATATACGTGGACGTATTCCAATGGATGTTGCAACAAGGTGGAATAGTAAATTCATAATGCATTCTTAATAAAAAGTATTATTATAATAATAGCATATGAGGCTGTCAAGTTTTTGGGCAAGAAATATTTTGGAAGAACATTTTTCTTTTTCCGAATTTTTTTGTTCCCAAAGATCTACAATTGGTATGGCAATTTTATAAAATTCGTAGAACCTTAGATAGGCATGCTGCTTATCATCAAATTGAGGCTATTAAAGAGGTTTCGAAGAATATGTTTGATAAATGCGTTATTTATATATAGCATATAATTAAATTCGAAAACTGCCTAGGTAGCTTTCTAGATCCAAGTATCCAAAAAAATTTTCCGCCTAGTTTTATTAATATCGTGGGATATTATAAAGTTTAAAAAATTTATTTCGTGGTTATGAATTTTCTGGCATTCGAATTCGAGGCGAAACTAATTTGATGTCAGTTAGCATATTAGATGAGCTAAGAGGGTAAATGTAAAAATTAATTCTAAATATTATTATATAATTTTTCATATATTATATTTAAAGATTCTTATATTAGCCCAAATCCTGCTATAGAAGAGATTGAGGATTATTTGGCGGATCCAGTGGAACAAACAAAAGTGGATGTTCTTAGCTGGTGGTCTGGAAAGTCTGGAAATGACAAGTGATTTCCAAAGTATTCAACTATGGCCAGAGATTATTTAGGGCAACAAGCAACATCGTTTGCCCGTGAAAGATTTTTTTTCAATCCAATACCCTCACGAAAATACGAAATAGGATGTCGGCTATGACTCTCAAGCATGCCAATCGATCAATTCTTAGGATATTCATATTTTAAATTTAAAATTTTTGGAAATAAATATTGTAATATTGTAATATTTTTATTTTTGTATATATCATTTGTATATTATATAATAAAAATAGTTTGTTGATAATTCATGATAATAAAGAATATATACATTTATTTAGTAAAAAACAATGCGTCCTATCGATAAAAGAAATTTATAAAAATTAATCGATAAAAAATTTTTTACAAATACTAATCGATAAGAATTTTATAAAAATATAGCAATATCACAATAATAATATTGAATGCAGAGGAGTCAATATTAATTTCAACTCTCTAGAAATATTGGGAATATCATCAGTAACTAAAATAAATGTAATCTAAAATGTAAGAAAGTATAAGAAGAACATTTATGCATTTTTAGTATATATATGATTAACTGTATTTATTGTTGGTACATTTTGTTGGGTTTCACGATCTCTGGAACGTTTATTTTGTTGATTAACCTGCCATCTTTTTTTAAAATTAATGACAGCTAAATCAGTATCTGTACAATCATTAAGAGAGGTTAAGATTGGGCCTGTTATACAAAAGAATAATTCACTGAACCCCAAAGTAGTCACTATTAGATGTGCCTTTCTAGTTGATAGCTAAAATACATATATATAATTTCATGTGTGACCCATTAGTTCTAATTTTAATTCAATATTATATTTTACTTCAAATCTGCACAACATTGTAATTAAAATTTTATGTGACCCATTAGAATTGAATTTACTTGAATACTGTTATGTTGAATTTAGACTGGAATGATTTGAAGAAAAACTATGCATACTTTATAAGGATATTGGAAAACTGAAAATCACAAATATATAATTGAATTAATTTGAATACTGTTGAATTTAGAATAGAGATTTGAAGGAATACTGTGCATACAAAACACATGATAAAATATTTATTTTTATTTTTTTGAATATTTTTAAATAAAAATAAATAAATAAGTAAAGTACCAATGACATGACATCACGATGACATGACGTAGCGAGGACATTCAAAAATTATAATATTGATTTATTCAAAATTTTCAGAAATCTTTTTTTATTTCCAACAAAGAACAATTATTTGTAGAATTAATATTTTAAAATAATATATTATTTTTTGAAAAAAATCTGGATCCCCATTTCAAATGTCTTTTAATCCTATAAATATAAAACTTTTTGATAAATTAATGTTATCCAAGTCAGCTATAAATTAAATATTTTAACAAGCTCCATACTTAATATTCAATCTATTTATTTATATCATTTAATAATATAATTGTCTATAAAAATTAAATATGTAACACAATTTAATATAAAATATTTTCATAAATAAATTTAATACAATATAAATATTTAATAATTTATAAAAATTTTTATATTTGTCTCTAGTAATTTTTGTTTCCATTGAAGTAGAATTATTTTCTCTGCTAGGTAAGAAAGGTATTGTAGTGAGGTTTATCATTGTTGTATCTAATTTGGATGATGATAAAGCAGGCAGATCAAGTGTATGGTTACCAATTATTAATATATTTTTAAGATATAATAAAATTATTATAATGTAACCTCTATATAAAGAGCTATTTATAAATACTCTACCATCACTCTGCTTTTTATATGCTCCCACATCTATATAAACAAATTTCCTGTTAATGTCTTTTAGGGTTAACAGGTTAATTGAAAATCTATGCTTGCAGTTAAAAAATTGTGAGCCACTATCTATGCTTGCAGTTAAAAAATTGTGAGCCACTATTAAGAGTCTTGATATAGATGTTTTCCATCTATAGCCCCAAAACAATTTGGAGATTCTGATTGTAGCAGGAATTCCTGGGAAAACTAAAGATAAGTAAATATTAATCTTGATTTATTATAATAAATTTACTCTTTCCCAATCATTTTTATTAGGCCTAGGCATGTGAATATGTACAGCAGCATTCCAAATTGCTGTGCACACTGATTTCACAATATAAGCTATATAGGATTTTGAAATCTTTGAGCTATAAGCAAGTTGTGCAAATTATACACCATAAATATCTATTATATAAATAATTAATAATGAATTAAATTTATTTTACCTCATCTTGTATAATTATAAAATTGAGAATGTGTTAAATCGCCTTTATTATTAATATATTCAGAAAAAAAAGATTTCTTTTAATATATATTTAAGATGTCTTTATCCTCTTCCTTTCTTTTTTTTTAAGGAAATATAAGGCAAGTAATTTTTATTTTTTAGATTTCATATTAAAATTAAACTTAACGCATCAATTTAAACAAGGCTGCGTTTACGTTTTTATATATGCGTTTTGAAACGTTGCAACGTTCAATTTGTGCGCACTATAACACCTACTTTAAAAATATTCATTTAAAAAAAAAGACTATGGAATATGGATATTAAAAAATCGGAATCAGCTATAAAAAATTAACATAAAAAAAAGGATTGATTTATTTTTTATATATTTTATTTATTATTATATTGAATTTGTTTATTTATTTTTTTTACTTTATACATTTACTTTTATATCATATTAAAATAAATAATCATTATAATAATAAGATATTATTACATTATTAGTAAAATAATTTAATAAAATAAAATAACATAGATTAAGTATACATTAATATAAATTTAGCGATAACATTATAATAATATGCAACAAAATGGCCAAAGTCTATACTATGAATAGGATGTTCATTTACGGCGTTTCGGATATTGAAAAAATAAAGCTGAGATAATTGTATTTTACTATGTTTATGGCTAATCGTTGGCATAGGTAGAATCCCTCGTTGGGATCCTCGGTCCTAGCAGAGATCCGTTTTCCTAGCTCTTTAAAGAAGTTTTGGGCATGAGAGCCGAACGACGTTAAGGTAGTGGCGATTAATGGTAGGAATGTATAATTGACGGGAAGAGATGGCGAATATTTAGCTAATTTATTCGCCTCGGCATCTAGTGTGGCATCTCTATTTATATTGGAGCAAGAGGATTGATGCATGAGAAATCCCAAGTTAGGAATTCCCCCCTCTTCCAAGGGATCATAGTCGAACCATCGGGCTGCTTACCATCTGAATTGTAAAGGCCAGTAGGTTCGAGGGTTGATGGGATGCCGGCGGATTTTAAGGCCCTGGCAATGGTATCATTGCATTTTGAATGCCTAATGAATCTGCCTTTACAGCGCTTGCAGTGTAGAGAGTGACGGCCTTTGGAGTTGACCGACGTTTGACAGAGGATACAGTTATAAGGTATTACCATATCGAAAATTTTATAAATTATTATTTTATATTATTTATGCTTTATAATACCCATGCTATAAATGGAAAAAACACAAATTTAGAATTTGTAAATAAATTATACACCTCATATATATTTTTAATAATATTTTATTTTTTTGTTTTTAAATTTTATTTGTACATGTTATTTTATTTTATAGGTATATAAATTAAAAAGCTAAAGATGTTTTTAGATAAATAATCTTTCATTAACTCAACATTTTATTTCTTTATTTTTTCATAGAATTTGATGTAAATATAATTAATTTTTTTTAAACATTTTTAAAGGTGGTTTATATTAATATTAAGTATTATTTATGAATTTTTAAATGTGGTTTTTTTAATATTAATATCAGATAGCTGCAGAGGTAATTTGCATGACCCGAATTTTTAAAATAGAAAAATTTCCTCCAGGATTCTATTTTCAAAAAAAAAAATTAGGCCTGGCAAGGATTTTTTTAAAAATATTTAGACATAGTCCGTGATTTATATACTCAGGGTCGGCCCGTCCCGGACTTTTTTAGTGTTATTTTTGGTATAACCACCATCTTTCAATCGCTTAAGTTGTTATTGATATTTCTATCTTCAATATCAACAAAGATTTTACCTTATATATTATATATATATTTTGTTGAACATATTTTGATTTGATAAATTTTTAAATAAATCATTTTTGAGGAATTCTTTTATGTTATTATAAATAAACAATCTTTTAACTAAATCTATTATAATTTTTTTAATCATCTTTGTAAAATATACTATTTTTCTAGTATATTAATGGATGTGGTTTTTTCTAAATAATTATTTAAAATATTTATATCTTTTTTATGTTATTTTATATGATCTTTTTAACGAAAATATTTTAATGTGACAATTAACATATTCGTTATTTTTGAAACTTCTTGACATAAAGGCTAAAATAATATTTATATTGCAAAGATGTTAAATTATAAATTCAATGAAGATGTTCCTTGGAAAACTGGCAATTATCATAATCAATATTTTTAAACATATTATATTTTTTTTGACGCTAATGGACAAAAATATGTATTTTTAATATGCTAAATTAAAATTTCAATTAAGATGTAACATATAAATGTGGTAATTGTTATAATCGTTGTTTTTAAAGTTTTTAAATTTTTTTAATGTAAATGGACTAAAATAAGTATTGCTAAAATGTTTAAATAAAACTTCAGTGAAGATGTACCCTAGATAAGTGACAATTGTCATAATCGTTATTTTTAAAGTTTATTGAATTCTTTTTGACGCAAATGGGTATAAATATAGGTTGTAAATTGTCACTTTCCTACATCTTATGAAATATAAATTTGACATTTTTACAATATATTTTAACCCATTTGGGTCAAAAAAATTCAAAAGACTTTAAAAATAACTATTATGACAATTGCATCTATACATCTTCGACTGAAGTTTTATTTTAATATGTACGCAATCTATATTTTTGCCCATTTGCGTCAAAAAATTCGAAAAACTTATAATAACGATTACGACAATTGTTACTTTTCCATGGTACATCTTCATGAAATTTTAATTTAATATGTTTACAATCTATATTTTAACCCATTCGTCAAAAAAATTCACAAAAACCTTAAAAATAACAATTATGACAATTGTCACTTTTATATGCTACATCTTCAGAAAATTTTAATTGAACATCTTTACAATATATATTTTTACACATTTGCGTTAAAAAAATTCAAAAAACTTTAAAAATAACGATTATGACAAT